AAGGAAGGAAGGAAGGAAGGAAGGAAGGAAGGAAGGAAGGAAGGAAGGTAGGTAGGTATCATTTTTTCTCCAACTGGTACTCTTCCAGATGATGGTCCCATCAAACTCAAATATAGAAAGCACCAAGTTAGGGAAAACTAGTATATATATAATCCTGAGCTTTTTGGCAGAAATACAGAAAAAAAATTTAAAAGTCCCACCCCCCTGAACCAGAGACTATACTGTATGTTTTATATAGCCTGGAGAACATTCTTAGTCAAAAAAAAAAAACAACCCAAGTTTTAAACAATAATAGAAAAGGCAATGTCTACAGGACCAAAGACAAATGTATTATCAGATAACCTTTTGTAAATTTCACTCTATTTCATCACAGTATACTTATGAGAGAGGAAATGTATACATGTACACAGTTCAATTCAATTATTTGTATGACCACTTTAGCATTATAATGATTCATTTTTACTGTTTAATACCGTAATGCTATCTATTCTGTCCTTGGGTCCATATTTTGGATGTAAGCACCTAAAATGTTTCAATAAATAAAATCCCAACCTGCGTGACCACTAGGAATCAGATGCTTAAATGATCAAGCCTTATCCTAGAACAGTTCATTTGCGCTTTCTGAATTTGATGATCAAACACTGACCTAATAACAAGATTATGTTTCTTCACCAATGATGATAACCTCTCATCCTCTGTGATGTCCGTAATGATGGGAACAACATTATTGTATTTCTTGGACAACTGCTCAAGTTGAATCTTCATGACAGAGACTATTGGAAAGTAAGAATAACAGATGAAAAAGACTGGCTCACAGAACATTTTTTAACTTCTATGTCATCTTTGATTTTTGTACGCTGCCCCTCAAAACCAGATCCTGAACCATAGCTTAGCATTAGCAGGATGAGATCAGGAAAACCTTGCTTTCATGCACTTCTCCTCCACTGAAACAACTTCAGAAACTTTCACATCCTTTTGAGATTAGGCATAGCTTGCTGAACCAACCAGAAAACAAGGGGTTCATCTGTGAGATATAAAGCCCAACTGGTAAAATAAACCAATAATGGGAAATCTCTAGTCCCTTAACCATCACAAGTTGGCAAAATTATTTTCCTTAAGCAATACAATAGGTGTAATAAACTTCCATGGTTTGCTGTGGTGTCTGAATGCAGCCATTAGGGGACAGCATTTTAAGATGAAAGGAGAACGAGGCATCAAAAGGAAATGGATTAGAGGAATAAAACTTCAACAAACAAGAAGGCTTACTGCTGACAAATATTATCTGTGGAATCAGTGATCAAAAAGTGAATTTTCTCTAAAACCATGTTGTGGTACACGGTGACAAGAATAGAAGGAGGAGTTCTGATAAATATTTTCCACAGCGATGCAGCTAAAACTAAGCTAATCCATGCAGGCAAAGCAGTACCTGTTCTAGGACAAAGGTTCAACGAAGAAACTGTTTGGGGGGGAAAGAAATCAAGAGTATCAACAAATGAAAAAAATGAAATGATGGCTTAGTCATTCTAAGCCATTCAGGTCAACTACTCCCACACTCTCCACCAGGCAGAGAATTAAAGTGGGTGATACAGTAGGCAGCCAGGTGCATTTTAATTCAACTTGCTAGCAAGTGCCATAAGGCTCTGAACCTTTGATTAAATAAACAAAGCAAAAACAAAACAAAAACCCTACACTGTTAAAATTGGATGGAGGGATCTTGAGAACATAACTAAACAAAATTTCAAAAACTAAAGAATAATCACAATAAGAACAGCTAGCCCAAGATACCACACAAAAGTCTATACTCATTTTAAAAAAAATGCAGAGATGCTAATGCAAGTATTGGAAAAGTTAATTCCAAAGGAACACAACATATTTCAGGGAGAAACTCTGGCAGCACATTATGAATATGAATTTGTAGAGGTATATTGTGTTAATTTCCATCTTAGGTAAGTATCTCAGATAGTTTATTTTTTATTTATAAACTTTTATAAACCTCAATCACAGAGGCAGCTCTAGGGAGTTTCCATATTTGGATTAAAAAGCCACAACATAATAATAAAAACGGGACATTGGGGAAGAACAAAGCAAAAATAACAGTCAAGGCAAAATACGCACACATGAAGACTTGGAGGTATAAAGAATCCCAAGGTACTGACTCACAGGCTTGCCTTCGGCTTTTACCCAGTTCTTGATGGGATTCAAAAATTAATGAGTGGGATACAAAGTAGTTGTTTTCATAAAATTTCATGTCAAAAAGATGTGTTTTCATCGCAGGATCTTTCTGTGAGAGTGATGCCCTTCTGCAAGTAGAATCTTTACTATGTTTATTCCACCCAATAGCTATACCCTAGTCAATAACAAACAGAAGGAACAATAACACCATACTTCAAAAGATACTTTAAGTGAGAAATATTTATAAATACAAAGCAGTTCTCCTCTGGTTTCAACAATGCTGAGATTTTAGGGTTATAGCCTTACTTACAAACCTGCTGTTATTTCAACATTGGGGTCTCTTGTAAGATATTCTATTACAGGCCCAGAAACATATCCAGATCCAAGTATCAAAACCTTTTTTTTCTTATCCATGGTCAGGGATTGCATATATTCCCTACAATATATACAATTAAAATGCATATCAGTAAAATAGGCATGAAAACGGTTAACGTGCTATAAATCAGCTTTGAAAACTTTAGATTACTAAAACTGTATTACTTCCTTCAGATCTCATTTAACTGCAGCCCATATGAAAATATTTTCAATATCACATTTCCATTTGATAATGAAAAATGATCAGCTTAACAGTGTCCAATATTATGCCTCCATCCCATACTGTCTCTAGCAATGGCTTTACACTTCCAAGAATACAGTGAAATCAATATATACTTCTTTTTTCTGCTGAAATCATAATATCAACACATATTATTAAATACAGCCCAAGAGATTATATCTAATACTCTACTGATCAGTGAGACTTGTTTAAATATTAAAAAGGCATAAGAGTCCTTTAACTAGCCAGTTGCAATCCATTCACAAAACTAGGAATGATGTAGTTCAAGACCTATAAACAGACAAAAGTTCAACAGGGTTTAATTCCATAATTTTAAAGCCCCAATGAAATCTTTGAATCCTTAATAAAGAGGATACAGTATGTAAGATTATTCCTGCCAATTACTGCATGTCCCAGTTAAAAGGACAATATCCTCACAGAGCAAGTATCTTGTTTCTATTCAGTATAAACCGTGCCATCTCTCTCCTCTTTTAAAGCAAAATTTCCTCTACCGACATCATTTTCCCTACTTACATTGAAGTTGAGAAGATCAATTAAAATGATAGACAACTGTATTGCAACACAGATAAGATTTCATGCAAGCCAAAACTTTGCAAAACGTTCCATCTTTCAGACATCCTTTTAACTATTCAGCAGTCATAATTAATCACAGTGATATGGGATAAAATCTCTTCAATTATCCCTCCCCAGTGTAACTGCACAGCAGTGATGGAGTTTGATTTTTATCTGCTATGTGCAAAAATGGATGACCTCCACCTCTTCCATATCCAGGTCAGGTTATAAAATTAGTATGGGTTTGCTTAACTGATTGTGCTCTAAACTGTAAAATCCTTTGTTTAAATAACAAAGCCTCCAAACATCAGCACAACTATCTGATGCTATAAGGGTTTTAAAAGAAGTTAAGAGTTTGACACAATGCAAAAACAAAAAATATGTTTAAGAAATGTGATACATTATTAGGAATGCTCCTTCGCATGCCCTTGTATCTCCAAACTTGTTTCTTGGTTCAGGCAACTGAAAGAGCTGCAAATGAGAAATGGTTGTGCTAAATAAAAGCTTAATAAATGCATTTAGAGGCAGCTAATTTAAATTAAGTGGTAGCTAGTGGCAGCACCTATCTGACCTTGGCTGATTTCAAAAAAGCTAAGCAAGACCAGACCTGGTTAACACTTGGATGGGAGACTACTAGGAAGTAGTAGGGCTATAAACTGGACCAAGAAGTCTAGAAAAAGATCTGGGAAGAATGCAGTGGCAAACCATTTTACATACATCTGCCAAGAAAATAACATGTATGTGTCAAGTCCAATTTGAGAGACTTTACTCTTTATTAACTTAAGCAGATGAAACACCATAAGGGTACAATAACTTGGCAAATAAAAGAGTTTTGACCTATGTCAGAGGGTGGGGAAATGGGATGGAACTTTCCAGACACTCATACACAGTTCTTCTCTGCTTTAGCTTAATAAACTATATATATATACAGTTCTATACAATTTCAACTGAGTTTTTATATTGCCTTATTTGTTTCACTCAATCACTCTCTTCCTCTCTCACTCATGCAGCTTCTTCCTGTGTTTTTACTTCTGGGCTTGCTTTTATCCTAGGGAGGAGAACAGGAAGAGGAGAAAAGTAGCTTCTTTTCTCCAGACCTTAGTCCAGCTGTCCTTGCTAACCTCTGATCTGTCCTTCCCAAAACACAGACCTTTCCACCAGCCAGTCGCTCAACAGATCACTCTTTCAGCTCCTGCTTGCCACTGCTGGGTCTCCAACTGCAGATTGCTCCTGCTTTGTACACATGGTATCACCAGTCCAAGCCATGCAAAAACAACTCCAGGAATGCTCAACACACTCCTCCTCCATCACTTAATGCTTCTGCCCATGTATATGTTCACAGCTACAAGGCAGGTGTTTTACCTAGGGATGAAACTTCTCAGTGTCTATGTGACATTGAGCCTGGGTTTTGTCCACAGAATAAAACCTTTAGCCTTGAGACCAATGCATCATCCAAAGTCCACCAGGGCAACTCATCTTGCCACAACCCAAAACTTACAAAGACTATAATGGCAGCATCAAGTGCATCTCCTGAGGCCCGGAGTGTACAACTAAAGCCCTAGGGCTGCACAGGATTGGCGGAAGACTTTTCAAAAGGCCTCCAAGTGGAGCGTAACCTTAAAAATGCTGCACAGCCCTGCTCTAGAAGCTCCTGTAATCAATGCAAGACCAGAGGCTATCTCCCCTTGTGCAATGTAGAAATCTGTCCCTGGGAGGAACACCCAGAGAAATGTTCTAACAGAAAATCTTAAACACATTGCCATAGAGAAACAGAACCATTTAAGTGATTAAAACAAGGCCTGAAAACCATCACTTGCAACCCCTAGAACCTTCTCTGTCCACAGTTGCTAAAATTGGGTGGCATGTTTTTTCTGTGAGATGGGAAGCACACAGGAATAAAGTCTAAGTCTTAAAAGAGGATTGACACACATTTTAAAACAAAGAAGATCCAAAATCCCTCCAAAAACCCAAGAGGGAAAAGATGAAAATGTCCAGCCACTTTGCATCATTACTTCTCCTACTGTGATCCTTGGTGTCTCACTAAAAGTGCAGGCTTTGAACTTCAAAGAATTTCCAACCTTTGCATTAAATGTAAGAACCAGCATCTTGGCTTCAGAAGCCAACAGGCAACCAGGGTAACTCTTTCAGAATTAATGTTATATAATTCCACTTTATTATACCAACTGAATTCTGCACTAAACTGAAATGCCTATGTCACCTTCAAATGAATCCTTCTATACAACACATTTCAGCATTTCAGCTGATCAGATCCAAATGTAATCTTTGGGCTTTTTTCAGAGAATCAGCAATATGGAATCATTAGTTCTGTTACTAGAAGGAATGGTCCATATTTGCTTCTTTTGTTTCTGCATGATCTTACATAGCCACAAGCTTGTAATTTCCATGTTAACTTCATCTCATAAAACAAAACATTCATGTTAGCACTCATACATAGATCCAATAATTTTACACTTGAGATGAATATATTTTGGACGGGAAAAAAAATTGTGTATTACCTGTTCTCCCTCAGTTTCTGGATATATTTATACTTATCAGTCAGTGAACCATTGGATGTAATCACTGCCTAGAAAAGTATATGAAAGACATCATTATTTTCCTTACAGCTGACCTTGGTATGCCAGATTTCTTTTTTAAAGTGTGTGGAAGAAAAACAATTGGTTTATAAGACTTACATCTCTAACTACAGGTGAATAATTCTGGCTTTCCAGGGGCTCTGAAGCATCAGAGAGGAGCTGTGGAGAGCAAGGTTTTCTGTCAGAGCATTTGCTTTCACATACACACACATCTTCAGATATGTAATTATCTTGGACAGGTAACAAAACCTTGGAAAACTTTCATTAAAAACATAGGAACTGTCAAGACAGAAACTCAAATGAAAACGTTGCTTGTGTGGTAGCCACGTTATTTTGAAGATGAGAAATTGTCAAGGACCTTAATTGGCAATTAAGTCTTTTCTAGGCTTAACTCCTCCACATTGTAGCTTAATATTAACACCACTGAGGTGAGAAGGATACAAGCACAACAGATTTTTATACCACAGACCATATTATAAATACACAAGTTTCTAAAAGGGAAATCAAGAACCAGGTCCAACTTTTTATCAGGAGGATGACTGGTTTGTGACATACTACAAAAGCTGGAAGGCAGGAAGTGTGAGTCAACAATAGAAGAATGACAAAATATAAACGAAAAAGCAAGTCTAGGACACATATCTTTTTGTACTTTCCCTGATAAAAACAGGCTTTATCCAGAAGACATGAAACAAAAGAACTGTAATTGTTAGAAATTAATCTAAAAAGCTATTCTTTCTGCTCTTCAGTAAGATTTGGAAAGGAAATAAATTTAACAGAGAGACATTTTCATATCACATCATCAAAAAAGAAATGATTCAGGAAGCTAAAAGCAACCAGGCTAATGACTGGATTTTATGGAGGCACTATCTAAAATAGGGATAGGCAACCTGATGCCTGTCAAATGTTTAGGATGTCAGCTCCAGCAGAATAACCAAGAAGAAGGGACTGTGAAAATTGCAATCTACTATATTTGAATAACTCCTTACAGCAAGGAATAACTTGCATTGGAAGTTCAATAAAATACTTTTCATGTGCTATGTAGGCACTTCAAGTCCATTTCTAACCAACAGAATAATTTAACCTTATTTGGGGTTATCCCAAATTCAGTCAGTGGTGTCTCCATTTTAAAAAGTGTTCAGGGTCCAAAATGATTAAAATGTGATCTTTAACATATATTTATCTTTAATAGCTATTTTTGAACCATCCTATCCTCAGAAAAGGCAATTGTGCCACTATTTATTTGGCCCATTGTCACACAGTTAGTGATCAAAGATATGGAACTGCAGCCTAGTATCTAGAAAACCACAGCTATAGTCACTTCCCTCCCAAGATACAACAAATGAACAAAATCTGGTTAACTATAGTTGCCAGAAGCATCCACAGGATTGGAGGCTTTCATCAAATGACAAAGGCTCTGTTGCACCATTTTGACATAAGTTCCACCACTTTCATACATGGCTGTGACATCACAGAGCATATACCAAAAGGGTGGAGCTTGTATAACAGCAGGGTGCTGCTTTCTTCATATGCTTTCTCCTGACCCCTTTTGTGGATGCTTCTGACAGTTGCCATTCCTGGAGGAAACACCCAGGAAGTTCAGTTACTGCATTTTGAGCAGATTTTATAAGGCAAAAACAAAAAACCAGAAAGGACTTTATGGGAGGGCTGCTGATAAGCAGCCAATGAGACATGGACCTCTGTGCCTATATTGTACTAAGGTTAGCTCTGACTATTTACACCAGTGTTTCTCAACCTTGGCAACTCTAAGATGTGTAGACTTCAACTCCCCATGCTGGCTGGGGAATTGTAGGAGTTGAAGTCCACACATCTTAGAGTTGCCAAGGTTGAGAAACACTGATTTATACTAATGTTTCAGCCCAGTCTGTAACTATCTAGCAGCTATAAACAAATAAGCAAACAAAATGTTAATTTATTGGCAGGATACATAGATTTTAAAAGTTGTGTAGGCAATTCTGAGCAATCTGCCAAAAGTGGGCAACAAAACATTTCAGAAAACAAATCAGTCCACACAGTAAGAATACTGTGGAATCTGCCACTATTATTTCAAATTAGAGTTTAACTTTTTAAATAGTTGCTGCCTATATCTTCTATTTAATGACTTAACAGTACTATCCATGGATATACATTCTGGTGTTTACAGGATTGCAGCTCTATTCAATAATATATATTGTTGGGAAAACATACCATTGTCTCACATAAAAAGCCATTTTCAAAAAGTAAATGTTACTTGTTAAAATGAAACATTTAGCAGAAAGTAGCTAACATACAGTAATTGAAAACAGGGCACCACTCTACAAATTATAACTATATCAAACCAAGCACAGAGCAAAATTAGTGTAAAATTCCTAACAACTAGTTATGAGGAAGACTGGTTTAACACTATCACATTCTTACCACAAAGATGCACAAGAGGTTTACTCCCATTAAGCTAATTTGTTTTGGTACTTCTGGTCTGCTAGCTGCACCACAGTGTGTGTGTAACAACCACTAATACTCCTATCAATCATTTATTCCTCTCCATTCCATTAAAACATCACTCTACATTCTTCATGACTTCAGAGTAAATTTTAGGACAATGATGGGGGGAGGGGGGCAAGAAAGTGGCTTGCTTCTCTATCTTTCATAGAAAAAAGGTGCAAAAGTTAGCAGTTGAAGTTTTTCAAAGCAAGGAAATAAACTTCAGGATACCTTGACAATCAGATATTATGTTGGGGTCAAAGGCATAGCTAAAGGGCAATTGAAAAATGGTCAAACCTCCTTCAAAACCTAATAGTTAAAAATGCAATAACCACCACCAAAAATCTCAACTGATGGGGCAATCTACAAATACTGTAAAAGAAAATAAACTCTGTTAAAGTTCATGATACATCTAATCCTATAACCTGCTCACCAGTTAAAGAGAATTATTACTTCACCTAACTCTACCCAAAATATATTTTCAGTGCAAATTAAAGTTGCATTAAGTTTTGTAATCTTCAGCTGTAAAAGTTTCAGTGTTGGAGGTTGGCAGGAAAAAACCCCTACTGTCTAGTTTTTCACTGATTTTATCATAACTGTTCACAGCCATCTTTTCCCCAATCTAGTGATGTCCATTTTGCACTTTAAATATCGTGAATGTAATGATGTCATGATACCACATAGCCATTCAGATATTATCAGTTGCAATTTTAAAAAACGCTTCACTAGCCACCTTTTGAAGAACTGCCCAGATTAGCACAGATGAAACACATCCAGAAAACAGCCATCATTATTTAAGCAGGAAAACAACTTTAATGAAACAGCTCCTATATGATATATATGTTCAATCATCTGCATTTTCTATCCCCAGAAGATGAGTCACTCTTGAGCAATGTGAGCAAGGGAAGAAAGAAAAGCTGTCCAACAATAACTGAAAAGACTAAACCTAAAAATTTAACAAAGATTAAAAAAAAGAGTTCCTAGAAATCATTTCAGGAAAGCCTGTTAAGTTTTACAGCAGATTTCTTTTATTTAGAATAGACCAGAAGAAGCATCCTACTTACCATTTCTTCAATATAGGGGAAGAGCATGTCTCCAAAACATTCTGTTGACTCTATAGGAAGCTGAGCTGGTAGGTTATCAATGGAACACATCAAAATCCCAGATCCCTCCACACTGGAAGAGAGAGACATATCATTCCACGTAATGAATAGCTACCACTTAGCATAAAAGGATGAAAGAATGGAGGTGGGGGGAGAGTGAAGAACTGTCTCCTAAGACTGAGGAGACCACCTGAGGACCATCAGATAGAGTCTAGGGAATGCTGGGGAGGGTGACTTATTTCCCAAATCTGGCTTGGATCTTAAAATAAGTTTGCTTAAGGAAGTATACAGAGTAAAAATTTCACATCGCCTCCAAACAGTCTCTTGTTAATTTTTTGCACACTGTTTAAAAAAACTCCTGACCTTCCAGAGTGGTTTGGGTGGGTGGGGGGGTCATTTATAAATGACTGCCAAGAAAGGGATGGGTAGACAGGAAACTTTTATTTACAGAAGTTCCTTAAACTAAATTATTTTGGAATTATGTGCTTGATTACATTCATCCTAGTTAAGTAAAGGATTCCAAAACCCCTATTAAAAAAAAACCCTTGAATCTTCAATTCAAAAGCAAGCCAGTACAAGTTTAAAAGACTTTCTTACCTGTCATGAATAATATGCTGGTCAGCATCATACATACAAAATGGACTATCAATTGTTGTACATTCTGTCATAAATTCTATAGATCCTTCAGTGTCTGCTGAGATGTCACATATTGCAACAAGTCTAGAAGAGTTGATTAAAACAAACAAAATAATAATCCATAAACAAAAGATGTCATCCCCAAAAATAACTGAATGAAATATGTCAATTAAGTATAGAATTAAGTGACAAACTTGCTATCTTCATGAATTGAGAACTGTAAATTTTTGAATACATGTAAGAACTTCTAACTATGTTCTACATTGAAGAGTGACCCAAGTTAGAAATAACCCTAGAGCTCCCTTTCTTTGTGTCTGTGTGTGTGTGTGTGTGTGTGTGTGTGTGTTCAACATTTATTTAGTGATGTTGATGTAACTACATTCATCTAGGCAAGATTTGTCATTAACCATAAAAAATAATAAAATTAGAAACATGACAATGTATTACCATTCACAGCGTACAATTTTATTAAAAGGGAATCAAAGCAGTGGGGAAGAATACAAACACAATGCTAGTCACAAAGGTGAAGTTTAGACAAAAACAGTACAAATATTTTGTCCTATTTATTTTGGTTATTTGTTTAAAATCAAGACTGCAGAAAATGGCATGCCTAAAATTAATAAAATAATAGTACACTAACCATACAGGTCATATAAGGTAGAGGTAGATAAGCTGTTGCCATCCAGATATTTTGGACACATTTTTACCAGCACCAACCACCATGGGTAATGACAAGAGACTGCATAAATCCAAACTATCTGAGAGTCACCAGGTTACCTACACCAGATATAAGACTGCAGTTGAATCGATAGGGATACCTAGAACTCAGTAGAGAAAGATGGATTATTATAGCAATAACAAAACAGTGCCAGGGTTGGCACCAACTTATCCAATCCTGTCTTCAGCACAGAATTATTCAATACAAATGTAATTCCAGGATCCTTTCCAGAAAACCCTGACAATTGGGATTAAACATATCCCTTTCTTGAGTTGATATATTCTAATCAAATTCAAATGGTTGGTCTATAAATCTTGACATCATCCGAGAACAGTTCTATGTGTAAGGGTTTTAAAATCTTCAGGGTGGCAAGAAAGGCCTCAATGTTATCTATCAGCAGGCAAAGATATTTTCATCCAAACTAATCTGCAGTTTTTAAACTGTCTTGCTTGCTGTAACAGGTTTTAAATGATAGTTGGCCTTTATTTCTTTGTTACTGGCATACCATTTAATGTTCTTATTATAATTTGGGCAAAGCTATTTTATTACTATTTGTCTTTAATGTGCAGTAAACCAGTAAATAAATAGATAAGTTAATTGTCACCTACCCTGTACTCTAATTGCCAGCCTGGCCAGCATGGCTAATAATGAATGATGAAGATAGTAGCTGAAGCCCATCTGGCAGGTGCCAAATTGTGGAAGGCTCTTCTGGGTATACTAGGGCCAGACCTTCTTTAAAAATTAGATTTCTGACATATAAGAAGGATGCAAAGCATGCTCCACTTCTCACAGATATCAAACCAAACCATTTGGCCATCTGTACCACAGTTAGGTACCATTGCAAGCAGTGATCAAAAAGTTAAATAGCAGAGGCCAAGCACGTCACACTGAATAGACAAGACAAGAAGCTCTCATGATAGGTGCAATTATATTTCCGGATTCTTATGCACTGCTAAGTGAAATGACATGAATTATTAGCAGTACAGGATATAAGATAAGTGCAGATGACCTTTGCAATTTTGGATGCTCTACTCTAAACTCTACAAAAAGAAGAAAAATTTATTCTTCCTCCACATTTTAAATAGAACACAGTACAAAGGAGGACCTTCTGCATCTTAAACAACTGTGTATAAAATAGAGTATACCTGCTAAAATTATTCTCCTACAAAACTGTTAAGAGCAGGGATGTGCAACAGGAGAGTCCAGTAACAGAACATTTTATTTATCACTTAGAATGGACATATCTGAATATTCATACAAGTTTATATTATTATTAGAGTGTCCTAGCTTATTAGGAAATTTAAGAGATAACTTGATGGTTCTTCATATTTTTCTAGTGCAGTTAGCTGTCACCAGTGGAAATCTGACACTCAATCCAGCTAGTCCTTGGCAGCTTGGCCTAAGCAAAGCTGTGCAGTAGCACAGTCGCAAAAGGCAGTTATGGCCCATAAATTTAAATTGAATTCAATTCAACAGTTCCCACCAGTTCAGTCCAATTGAGAACCTATTCAGAGAGACACAACTTGGCAAAACAAGTTTTGCTTGGATTGAGAAATCAATTGTAAGAACTGGTCCTAAAGATCTGATCTAAAAGCAGGATGCATGCATTGGGGAAGAAGTTCAGTTCTTGATTTTTATATATTAGTTCATTCTGTCAGTCATGTTTTTATCATTAGAGAGAGTGATAAGATTAACATATATGCTGATTCAACTACTGACTATATGGAACTTACTACCATGCAGGCAACTATGTGACTGCGTCTGAAGGATCGGCTCCAGGTCTATTTCTCCATTCATGGAGGTAACTGGAATCTAGCAAAGGCTTCCCAATTGGAAAAGGGAATTAGGTAGCAGTTTTCTCCAATCTTTCCTTGGTACTGGAGGAAGGGGCTAAAAAAGCTATTTTTTTCCAACCATCATCTCTCCTGCATCCTATAGTACCTCCTCTCACGTTTTTTCAGAAGATCAGGGCATCTTCTGGAGTAATGTGTAAAGTGGCAGAAGGAAGGGGGGATTAAAGCGCACTGCCTTTCCAGCTTCTTCTTCTGGTACCAGTCAAGCTCCACAGACTTTAAGTCTGGCTCCAACCCCATCCATCCCATTGTGACACTGTGCTTGTTGTTTCCAGGCCATGTCCCAGTCAAAACATCTTACTTGTGTGGCAATTCAGGACAGCCTTCTGTAGCAGCAGGAGAAGGCTGGAGAGGAGTCAAAAGCTTTTGTGCATCCTGCCTGCTTAGCAAGCGTGGAGTATTCGCCTCCCAGTAGATTCCATTTATCACGCAAGTAGCATAGGGTGCAATCTGTAAATGAAACCATATTTTTCTTATCCCCTATGATGTCAATAACATGAGTCAAATTAATTACCTGAAATGGCTGTCTCCAATCAACTGAATGCCTCACATTTATTTTGACATCAAAAGCATCTAGATGTGGGTGCAGAACAGGCCGCCTGATAACAGATGGTCAAGATGGTCCTCCTTTTACAATGCTGAATGCTTGGGGAGAGATCATGCCACTATGATTCCCACCTCCAGAAAAAAATTATATTTTCTCTGTCC